CCTCCAACTTGTCCCCAGGCAGTAATCTCTAGCAGTGCCCCAGGAGGCCAGCTGTTTTCCCAGAAGCCAGGATGGGTCTTGTCTGTAGTTTCTGAAACAGAGGCTTTCACATATACATTACTTGCTAGGCTTATAACTTTTTACCTTAAACTAAAAGTTTCCAACTCTTGAGTCCCCTATCAGAGGTACTGAGCGCACATCCCAGATGGCAAATTACCACCCCAGACAGCAGGCAGTGTAAATCTGCTTTCGAGTCTTTGAGGGTGCTCACATGATTGGTTCCTTAGGTCCCTCTTCTCAGATTACTGTAGCACAGAATCAGCGCAGAGGTAAATTAGGTCTGAATCCTGGCTCTGCAGCTTGCTAGCTCTACAACCTCAGTAGTTACTCCACCTCTAGGAGTCTCCATTACTTTCTCTATAAGATAATAGTCATATGACAACTACTTGGCATCACACAGAGTGGGTTAAATGATTTATTTGTGAATGCTCCAACAGCGTGTAGAAAGAGAATACATACTATTTTTTCCTGTCAATGCCTGAAGTCTATATCTTTTCTTTTGATCCTCAGCTGGTTTTTTTTTAATTGATTTTAGAGAGAGAGGAAAGGAGAGGGAGAGAGAAACATCAGTTGCCTCCTGCATGTGTCTGATAGGGGAATAAACTCTCAACCTTTTGGTGTGTGGGACGATGTTCCAACCAACTGAGCCACCCAGCCAGGGCTGGAATCTACATCTTAATCTCTTCCCTGAATGCTTTCTCCACCTCCCTGCCTTAAATAAAAGAAGCTCTCCCAAAGCTGTCACTCAAATACTCATCACCCCTTGTTAAAACAGTGTTGGTGAGGAGAAGTGATTTTCCCTTAGACTTACTAGCTTTTCTAGACCTTATTTTTCTATCCTCTCTGGAAGACCTTCCTTTCCATAACTTTATGTCTCCAATTTATTTATTCCCTTGACCTCTGAATATCATCAAACATTTCTTATCCTATGAAAGTACCTAAACTAAACAAATAAAAAGCTTTTTCCTTGATTCAATGCCCCTAATTGTCATAATAACCTTCCTGACTGGCAAGTCGAATATTTCTTTTACCACATCCCATGGTAAGGGCCATAGATGAAATAAATAAGTGAGCATTCTTGCCCTGAGTTTGTACATGGTACTAAAAATCACACATCTCCATCATCATGTTTAGTATATTGTACTGTGGCTCTGTTCTCTCATTTGTAACAGGAGGTATAAAGGTTTATTTCTTGCTCATGCAAATGTGAGGTGGTCCTGGCAGCCTTCCACAGACTCCATGGTCTGGGAAGAGAGAGCTTCGGAGTCCTATGTGACATTTTGACGACCGTAGGCCACTAGCTTACATTGCTTATGGCCATGTCCAGTTGACCAGAACTAAGTCACATGTCCCCAACCTAATGACAAGTACAAGGCTGAAAATATAGTTTTGATGTGTTCCAGGAAAAGAAAACTATGCTGAGCATATGGCATTATCTCTGCTGAATATTACCATCTTTTCAATCACTATTTCTTTCATTTCCATGTAATTCCTTCTAGCATATACACTGCTTCTGTACTTCCTAACACAGAATCCAGTCTATGGCAATCACTCAGTAAATATTTGTTAAATGACAACTGACTCATTGCCCATATGAACGAGTGCCTCAGAAAATAAGTGAATGGTTAATGTCTGAAGTCAGCTGCTAATGGTTAAGACTACAATCCAGTATCACAATATTCCTCTTGGGAGATAATTCTCCTTGAGTCCTTCATATTTCTACACATTTTGCAAGTAAGTCAGTGGCTACTCTTTGCTCTAGACTGTTATTTTAAGGATGTTTGCCTGGTATAACAGCCTTGGAAGATAAAGATAATGTCTCTTTTAAGAGCTAAGAAGTTTTGCTCACAGCCTTGTAAGACAGTGATAATGTTCTAAAGCAAAGGGCTGGCATGACTATTATTCAGGATGATAGAGGTAGGTAGCATCTAAGTCAAGAGCAAAAGGAAAGCATGCCCACTGCCTTTCATAGCAGATTCCGGGGCCCAACGCTCAGAACTCCTCTCCTCCGATGATACCCACCATAAGGGCAGGTGCTATTGACTTCTCTTTGCGTCACCCTGTAGGAAGAGGGCCTCGGAGAAAGAGCGCAAAAATGCAGACACTCTGGCTACTGCTGTTGCTGTAGGTAATAAACAGGCTCTCATTTCTGACCCAGGCACCTCATGCCTTCTCCCAGCATCCACGGAACTGTCGGGCGATCTTCTTAGCTTGTGCATAGAGTAAAATCTCAGACCCTTCACAGTTCTTGACAAGACCTTCCACTAGACATTTGCATTGTCTTCTACTGTGTTCCTTCTGCTTTGTTTTGCATGACCTTTGTACAGACGCCTAAAAGTCCAGCTTCCAAAAGCAAATGTTCTGCACGTCTGTTTGTTTTGATTTGTGTTTTGCCAATAAATGTAAAAGCAGTTTCCTGTATTTATTTACCAAAAACAACCATTTTGTTACTGATGTAAAATAAAATTGTCATGCTGCTGCTGATGCTATATTTTTGAGGGCTAGTAAAAGCTGTTGATATCATTACCTCTCCTTGCTAAAGTCTCAAAGGTTCCTGTCCACAAAAGGAATTAGCAGATGCTGTGATTCGAATGATCTAACACGCAGGAGGGTCCGTGAGTACATGGTGCGTTCCAGCAGTTTGGAGTGCTTCAGGGTGGCTCTCTGCCTCCCCTTCGTTCCGGTGAGCACAGTTCTGCCAGAGTGCAGGTGGGTCTCTGTGGTGGCTGTCCTTGAAGGAAACAAGCACCACGCCAGAGGCCAGTGGAAGCGTTTTTCCAGTTTCCCAGGGGGAAAATTGGCTGGGATGGTAAATCACTTGGAAAGCCAGATGAAAGCAATGCATTAATGCATGGATTCGTACCCTTCCTTGTGCTCTTAGACACCCACACGTTTGTCTTCTGCTACAAACTGGAGAAAAGGCAGAAGAGAATAAATACACATTTCTAGGGGATCAAATGAGTTTACCGTTGGCTAACACTGAGGGCGTCCTCAGCCTCCAAGGAGTTCTTCACACTCAGTACTTCTACACTGATTCTCTTGGAATCTTCCAAAGTGGAGCCGCTCTCTGTGGTCTTAATAAGGTGGAAAGATCCAAGCTGCTGCCTGAGAGAGTGGATGAGGAATGGCGTAGCCTTCTCTATGCCACTGGCGAGCTGGCGAGCGAGACAAAAGGCACAGTGTTCTGTGCTGCGGACATAGTTACTTGTTTATAGTAAAGAAACAAGTTCCCTCTGCTTCATGGAAGATTTTTAATGGGTTCGTCTATTTGTTACTTTTCAGCACCTGCAATGTTGTTTTTCCAAAAGAAATGGAATCAAAGCAGCCAGAAAACCTAGAATTTCAGGTCTACAAGAAAATCTTTTCTCTTTTTGAGTAAGGATTATACTCTGGAATATCTGAAAGAGTCTCAGAGAGAAATAGCGAGTTCAATTTGCCACAGATTAGGTTCCTTGAATGGTATGAGAAATCTCGTTCCTATCAATATCTTTTGATTTTTTGAGTCACCATAAAATGGAAAAGTTTCTAATGCACAATTAATAACCACAAACTGTAGTGCTATATCTCTGAACTTACTCTTTTGATGTGAAGTCAAGACTCCCATATACATAGTACACAAATCATACTAACCTACAACAGGGCTCTTCCTGGGTTCTGTCTCCTTGAGGTTTTTGCTGTAGGTTTGCACCAGGCTGCTGGCAAGCTCTTTTCTCAGTGCTGGACAACAATTTTACTGTATGTTGCTCAAAGATGCTACGCAGCAAATAATTGTAAAATTGTGTTAAGAAGTCTAAGCAAAATGCTTCCTCTGGCGTCTGGCACAATGCTTGCCTTCCTCAGGGACAACCGTCTCAGAGACCTGCAATCTAGTGAACACTGAGTTTGCTGGAACAAAGGAGAGGCGGAAAGATGGTCATAAACACTCCAAACTGCTTGGAACCTGCCAAGCATTAGCAGACCCTCTTGTAGGTTAGACCCTTCTAATCATGTCTGCTACTGCCTTTTTGTGAACAGATACCTTGTACCAAATCAAAGCGAGAACCGTGAGCTATCCTTTGCATTCTCCTGTTTGCATAAAATGGGCTTTTTGAGAACTAACTGGAAACAGGGTGTTAGAATGAGGGTAAAAGGAGAGGGGAGAGGGGAGTAAGGTTCTTCTTAGATCTCTTTAAGGCCCAGAAACAGAGACAACTGCTCATGGTTGCTTTTGTTCTTTATAGCTACCACTCAGTGCAAGTTATTTTGAAGCCTCCATTTATTTCCTTATATAGCTAATGCATATCCACTATAAAAAAGACAAGGACATAGAGAAAAGTGAAAATATCTAGTTCCCTGCCCAAATCTTTCAATTACCGTACTGGCATAGTCACTGTTATGTGTTGACATAATACAAGAGTCCCAGTCAGGCTGGGGCTCCTGTAACAGAAAGCTAGAGACTGGGTGGCTTATAAACCACAGAAATTTATTTCTGCAACCTCTGGAGGCTGGAAGCCCGAGACCAGGATGCCAGCAGAGTTGGGTACCAGGGAGGGCCCTCTTCCAGGGTGCAGATGGCCATTTTCTCACTGTGTCCTCACATGATGAGGAGCCAGGGAGCTCTGTGGAGTCCCTTTTTGGGAAGGACACTACTCCCATTCATGCGAGCCCCACATTCATACGTAACCTAACCAACTCCCAGAGGCCCCGCCTCCTAATACCGTCACTTTAGGGATCCGGCTTTAGTGATGGATTGTAGGGCGACACATTCAGTCCATAGCAAAAGAGGAATCCGATCTTCAATGGTTGTAGACTGGCTACAGCTGCATAGTCTAGAAAATTCCAGGCCCCACCGGCAAACACACCTCCCTACTTCTACCCTCCTTTGATTTTCTTTTCCCCTTTTCTCTCCTCAAACCCTCCCCCCAGGGCCAGGGAATATCGTCCCTCTGACTGTGTACAGAGCACCATCCTCATGTCCTTCTTGCGGTAGGCAGTCCCACAGGCTCCAAAGTCTCTTCTTCATCATGGCCGCCACCTGGGGATGAGAGAACCAGGTTCTTCTTATGTGTTTATGTGAATGGGCACCCCCGTACTATTTTCACAAGGTGAGCATTTCCTTCTGTCCAGAGATTTGGTGAAACGGAAGCCCACCTGATAGAGGTGGCTGGAATTTAAGAATTTGCTTTCTGCCTTAAATTCCATCCTGTTAACTATAAACAGACGGGTACACACCAAGTGACATGCCGACCACTGTCCCAGAGCAAGTTTGATTTGGGCCAGACGGTGGTGCCAGACAGGAGACTTGAGCGGGTTACACTAACCTGCTCCGGTCTGGGGGTTACATTCAGGTAAAGCTACTCTTCCCATCATGCCTCTCGCTCTACACCGGGTATACGGGCCTGATTCTGAAATGTCTGTGTTGTGAGTCCCATCCTTGCTCCTCTTTCAACACATCCTCACTTCTCACTTTCTGCTCCTTCAGGGGACACTTTCTTTTTCAGTTTGGATAACTTAACCAGAAGTTTCTCTTTAGCACACAAAGGCAGGACATCAATTTTGTTTAGAACAAGCTGAACTAGATCAGTACCACCCTTCCCTGCTAGTCTGGGCTCTGCATTTCCCATCAAACATGCATGACAGTGGATTTGCCTGGTTTTTTAAAGACTTTATTTATTTTATGTTTAGAGAGAAGGAAATGGAGGGAGAAAGAGAGGGAAAGAAATATTAATACAGGGACCTGGCCTGCAACCCAAGCACGTGCCCTGACTGGGAATCGAACCAGTGACTGTTTGGTTTGCAGGCCAGCACTCAGTCCACTGAGCCACACCAGCCAGGGTGGATTTGCCTGTTTAAAATATGCTCCCTGGCCTGGCAGCCCAGCTTTCGGCATCACTGACCTCCGCCCACAGACAGGCTGCTCTTGCTTCTTCGCTTCTATCGCTTCGACTTCCTCTCCAGTCCCCAGAATAATTTCCCTGGTGAAGGTGACTTTGCTTGATTCATCCTTTCAAATGAGCAGTAGCAAAGGCAATACCTCGCCCTGCCCCATCTCATGGTACGCTTGTCCTTGGAGCCGTTCCCATTATATTGGCAAGGTTACTGTGCCAGGAAGTCTGGGGTCTGGACTGAGCCATCTGTCCTTTGGTGGCAGAGTCACACTGCACAGGCAACATGCTGTTCCTTACTTCTAGCATTTGAAACACAATGGTCACACTCTGTGTGGGGGTACCATTCTAAGAAAAATGCATTTTGACCTAAAAATTCTACTTAAAGAACATGGTCTTGTCTTCAGAAAATGTGAGCTCTGTTTTTGTCGATGCCTTTAATAATGCACGCATCGCCGATGTGCTTATCTACTATGGCAGCAGGCCTTATTTGGGCAGGTTTGTCCATTACTACCCTAAAAGCGAGCATCAGAACCGTGGAATGCTCAGAAAGCGTGTGTAGAACGCCAACATGCAGGCTTTTCACACGAACACTGAATCAGACTTGGAAACAGAGGAGCCGGGACTCAGACCTGGGCTCTGCCGCTCCCTAGTTCCTGGCCCTCGGGCAAGCAAGCTTTAGATTTTATCCCCACCTCCATCAAACGGGGGTGGGGATGATAACCAGAGCTACCAGTCCTTCTGTGTCCCAAACACCATGCCAAGGGTTGTCTACCCATGGTGTCATTTAGTTCTCGCAGCAAGCCTGTGCCTTAGACAGTTAAAGTACCCATTTGACAAAGAAGGATGTGAGACTCAGGGAGGTTGAAGGTCCCCAGAGAGTTGCTGTGAGGATGAAGTGAGGTGAAGGGCTTCACACGCTCTTCAGGAACCGTGATTGCTGTCGCTCTTGTCGTCACTATGATCCCCTTCAAGACTGCCCAATACTTTGGTCCAATTTTGTACTTGTTTCTTGGAGCACACCCTTACTTCTTGTCATACCATTTCCCTTTCTCTCTCTACGAGTTCCCATTCTCCATGAAGCTTCTATGAACTCATTACAAGTGAAATGATCAATGCTTGTAAAACAGAAAATATAACTTGGTTTCTTCAGCTTGACGATCTTAACATAAAAGGCACCTTCTCTTAACTGAACACGCAGAAAATATTTAAACACTGAAGCTGATATGTTTTACGTTTCTTGATTTATGATTCACCAGACAGTCTTCACTTAGGCAAACTTGGCAGTCCTCTTTTCATTTTTTATTTTTCTGATTATCCAAATTATATAAAATTCAAACCTTACAGAAGTAATTAACTTTAGAAAGGAATGTCCTTCCCACCAAAAATCTACCTTCCAGAAATGACCACTGCTATTGGATATAACGTATTATATTTCTCCATCTTTTCTCCACACATGCTGTTATTTTTGTATACATACATATGCATATCAGTGCACTTCATTCTTTGTAATGACTGTTCAGTGTTCTATTGTGTAAATATGCCTAATGATACATGCAATTCTCATCATTTGCCTCTCGGGAAGGGAAGCTTCTCTGGAGCACACACACTCACAGGTGAAATATCCCTCATAAAAGCTTGTTACTGCTGCTGGGAAACTCTATTGTTACCTCTTTGTTATTGAAATGCTTTATTTCTGGACACAGAAATAAATGCTTTATTTCTGCATACAGAAATAAATGCTTTATTTCTGCATTTGAGTCCTCTTCAAATGCAGGAACTCTGATATAATAACTCCTTTAGTGACTAATGCTTAGAGCTTGGTGCCTGGCTAAACTGAGAAAAGAATAGAAAAGAAAAATGCAGCAGGGAGAAGAGAAAATTAGGGTCATTTTCTGGGGAGTTGTTTTCCCTGGCACCGTGTTCTTTTTTGTGTCATCCTCTCTAAAACACCAGACAGCACACCCTGCAATCAGCCTTGTGCATCACTCAGAGGTTGATGCCACCACCGTGATGCTTTAAGGACATTTTTCTTCGGTGACCCAGTGAGCTGGTGATCCTGGTGCAAACATACTGTCTTTCATAAACCAAAAAAAGCAGCCTATATGCCTACAACACAGTCTGAGTATCCACAGTTCAGAAAGAAGGCATCAAAGAGACACAAGAAACACACCCATTACCATGACCTCCAGAGCACTGCTTTCTGGGTAATTGAGCTGCTTTGCCTGAGCCCTTTCAAAGCCCAGCTCTTCCCCCCAAAATTTGAAAATGCTTATTTGTAAAGATATATGTCAGCATGTTCATGACAGCATTATTCACAATAGCCAAGATATGAAAACAGTCCTTCAGCTGAGGATTGGATAAAGACGTGGTTCCATTCTATGCAACGGAATACTACTCAGCCATAAAAGAGGATAAAAGATTGGCATTTGCAATAACATGGATGAACTCGTATCGTGCTAAGTGACATAAGTCAGATGGGAAAGCATAAGAAACACATAATTTCACTCATATGTAGGATATAAAACAAAAAGCAACAAATGAACAAACTCATAGACACAGACAACAATATGGTGGCCACCAGAGTGGGGGTGGAGAAGAAGGAGGATGATGAGGTTAGACGTGGTTGAATATATGGTGACAGAAAGAGACTAACTTTGGATAGTGAGCACACATTGGAATTACACATGATATGTTATAAAATTGTACACCTGAAACTTACATCACATTATTAACCTATGTTAGCCCTAAATAAATTTAGTGTTATAAACAAATAAATAAAAACCCAGCTCTACACCCTTTGTCTCGGCAGGATGGGCAGATGGTGGCAATGTCTCTGTGCAGGAGATAAAGGACAGACCAAAGCCAAAGAACGAAAAATGTCCAGACTTCAGAATCACCAAGGAAGCTTTTACAATTACAATGGTATGTCTACAGTCCCAAAATTGAACCAGAGCCCAGAGCTCTGCATTTAATAGGCTGCTCAGGAGAACAATGTGGATAAATTTCTGGACCACACCTTGAGGGTCACTAAGGGGTCTGTGCTCAAAAGGAAATGAGACTAAGGTCCTTCATTAAAAACCTGTGCGTTAATTTCTGATTCTGACCGTGATGCATTAGCTAGAAGGAAACTTACTCTCCCCATGCAAACACCTGAAACGGGACAAAAGATATTAAACAACTTCTTTTCCATTACAAGGGACAATGCAAAACAGATGGTGCAGAACCAAGTGACCTGAGGAAAAAGAAACGAGCAAGGGTTTTTTTGGTTTGTTTGTTCTGAGCCCCGAAGGCAGTTTCTGGATCACAGCACAAAGAGGTTCCCCCTCAACCCCCACTCCCCAGAAGATAACCATCTCAATGAGAACCGAAGGAGAGATGGAAGTGACTGGTGTGCCGAGCTGGGTAACCAGAGGAAGGCATTCTCAGACAAAACACCCCCTCAGCTGAGCATTCCCTCCAAGTCTGTTGCTGGAGAAGAAGGCGTGGAGGAGGAGGATGAAGTTCAAGAAGATAAGGGGGACCGCTGTTTATGTTGTCATTGATCCATTTATATGAAATTCCAGAAAACAACGGGTCTGCAATTATAGAAAGCATGTCAATGGTTATGGAGACAGGTGGGAGAGAGTGACTGCAAAGGAGCATGAAGTGCCAGAAGGGCTGTGTGTCCTGCCTGGGGTGGTGGCCGTGCTGGTGGGTTACACATTTGTCAAAACTCACCTAGTGATGTACTTAGAACAGATGCCTTTCATTGCATGTAAATTATACCTCGAGAAATTTATTTTTAAATGTTACCTGTTGGCCATTATTTTCTCATTATCCTGGGCTTATCTTGCCTCTGTTGCCCATAACTACGTACATTGGGGCTTGTCTTATATCCTTTTTTTACAAAGATAAGCACAGATTATTTTGTAATATAACAGCAACACTTTAAATGTTTATTGATAGATTTTTCTCCTAATTCTCTCCACTGTTTCTAGATACTTCCCCACAATCAAATTTACCTGTAGCACTTACCTTTCTGACTAATCACCTAATAACCAGTAGCTCTCATGCTTAGAATGTTCTTAGGATGGACCGTCTCTCCCCACATCAGTCAAAGCTATAATATATTTATTGTCTTTGCACATTCCTTTGTTTGAGAGAGAGG